AACATAGTAGAAGTAGCAGAAAGTATGGCCGTTAGTTTTGGCTAGGTGCAAGGGGTTGGCGTTTAGGGCTCGGAATGAGACTAATGTTATCCTTTGAAACATTCCAGTCAATCGCTCGATTTCGCACCATATCCTCGTCTCAATGTAATGATGAAATGTTCTTTGTATCATACCAGTTTAGTCAATTTCGCTACCATCACGCTTTTTTTAATTTGGACATTTATTGACTGGTTCTCTCATTACGATGCTACGATGTGTCAAACAGTCCAGTATCTAAAAATAGTGTTCGTCACCATAAAAGATAGTGGTGATGATGACCAATAGAAAGCTAGTTGCACCTCTTACCGCACCATCGAATATTTTAAATGACTTATTAACAAAAAATTCGGAAACGTGAAGTTCGTTGATGTGTAAGTGATGTTCCTGTAGTGAGCACGCACACGAGCTCGCACACAGCGCTGAATTAGTCACAGAGGCAATCAAGTTATTGTTAGTCATTGTACGTCTTTGTTGATACAGATGTTTTCTCTGATGAATGAATTAATGTGTGCAGCCCCGTCAGAGAGAGGATAAATCCACCCTAATCAAGCATATCGTTTGTAGATGGGCTAGTAAACAATATTCTGTTCGTTCAAGGTCACTACCGCCAGTCGCGCGCTAGAAGTAGACGCGAATCTCACGCGAAGCTGCCTTTAGAGTTTGCGTGGGCACATTGCCAACGCCAGGGTTATCTACCGCCAAGGCACACTGGGGGAGGGGGGGGGGGGGGCTGGTCGGTGGACAATAACTTGATTGCCCCTGTGACTAATTCAGCGCTGTGTGCGAGCTTACTACGGGAACATCTCATACACATCAATGAACACCTAACATCGTATTTGGTATTTCCAACTTTTCTCCTTCATCCAAGTAATTGAGGTTCTTCTAAACTACCCAATTTGTTCGTCCTGCACCACTCTATCGGCTATCGGGACGAGTATTTCTGACTGGTTGTTCAGTGTGCTACTAAGTGCGACTTATTTTTTCATAGAATTATAGCATAACTGATTTGTCACAATGAAATATAACACTGATCCCGATCAAGCATACAAAACAAAAAAAGCTACATCTACTGACCAATCAGCGATGTATGTACTGATAGTCGAAGATATGGAAACTCAGACAAGCTGAAACGCCCCTAAACACATAATTGTCCAGAAATGATCCAGAAGAATCCACAATCTCAAGGAACGTGAAGGTGATGAGAGCGGATGCCAACGGGCAATGGATGGGGGGTAAAGTGAACAATGAGCTACTTTGAAGGAAGCTCTTCAGACAGTCGGCTGGTATTCCGGAGACAAACAAGCCGTGCTGCATCACTCGGCTGGATCCTTTCCTCTGATCCCATTTCTAGTGCAAATCAGTTAACTTATTGCTAAAAGAGAATCTTGCCAAACTCTGGGTGGTGTGCCATCTCAACGTAAAGAAATTGAAGAAGCGCCGTTCAAAACGATTACACTAACGCTCGATCGTAGTTTCAGGTTACATTGCAAACGGATGAAGCCAAAAACGTACCTTGTGGCACAAGTGGAGGAGTTATGATATATTTTGATAGGATTGAAGTTGTAAATATTCTCAGTGCCAGCAGTGGTGAGTTTTTTGTAAGCTGCACTCATACGCTGTTTTTTTTTTGCTAAAATTCGAGTCTATTTTTAGTATATGACATTGTAAAGAACTACACGGTGGATTATGACAAACCGCTCATCTTCAATAAAGTTCATCATGAGGTCAATCAGTTCTGTTCAAGTCATTCACTTCAAGAGGTTTATATTGATTTATTCGGTGGGTAATCAGATGATTATACTTTATTTTTCCTTGGTGCGTTAGTCCTTGATTTATTTTACTTTTTGGCTTTATTAGTTTTTTTGCAGCTTTATTACTTCGCTGGTCAAGTCGTTTTCGTTGTCCCCTAAAAGTCACAATATATATTTTATTTTCAAAGGCAATAAGAATGAAGTGAAGCTTATGACTAGCATTCTGTTTTTGTTTTTTCTCATGTTCGCATAATCGATGGAAATTTATTTGCATATTTCTCCATTTCTCATAAAAACTTCAATATCGCCATCATTTTAACCTATACCTCACGTTGATTGAAACCATTTGTATAACAAAAAAAAAACGGGAAGGTTGTCTGTATCTATAACAGCAAGGGAACAGTTTGGAAAAATTATTAAAAGTTGCAAATTATTTTTGCTGTAGCAGGTGATGTTGGTGTGCTCTTGCATTCCCTCTAAAAGTTGAATTATTTTTAACGCGCTGTCATCAGCCGGCTACATCTATTGTCCAAGGCTGAAAGAGGGGTAGAAGGAAATACACAAAACAATGGCAGAATCTACAATGAATCTGAAATGTGCTTACAAAATATGGGGTGATGCTACGGAGGTTGCGTGATGGTGTCTCCAGTCACTTCTGCCTCTTTCCCATATGTCGCAATTGCTGCAGTGGAGCATCGTTATTGTAACTCTCAGCTATTCGCTTTGTTTGTTGTTTGTTTATCTTTTTTCCGCTGATATTACTAGTTATGATGGTTTCATTTCGAAGTGAACAAGCATCCACCCGCTAATCAACCTTTTAAGGGCCTTTTTAAATTTCTCAGTGCAACATTTGAAAACTGAAACTTGCGTTAAACTCACAATAGCTCTTTGACATGCTCGTCGCAGCCACATGCATAGATACTGTGTTTCTATGTCCTAGGCGTCTTTACAACTATGATACTTCAGAAATCAGAGAGATAAGTTCGCGTTCCGAACAAGTAGCCCTGTAGAAGACATGGATCCCAGAAGTTTTGAGCGACTCCTTGCTAGATTTAGGAGATTTTTTATTTTTGGGCTTGATGTGCCTTTAATGTGATTT